ACAATTCCTAATGGGCCGATTTGACCTCTTATGCGCCCCCGTCCTTTCAGAACTCCTTCTGTCAGGAATGTGTCTATGCTAAAAATAACATCGTATCATGAAATGTAGACACTGTGAGGAGTAATTTCGGGACTACTCTGTGAGCTCTCTTAGTCACCGTCGCTACTACCGCAGCTAGTACCATTATTGTGAATGCGACGGCTGTCACCAGTACTTTCGCAAGATGCGGCCCAAGCACTGCTCGCTAGACCACTAGAAAACGCACGGGCTGATTTTTTATTGACAGTAGTTTCAGGTTTTGTACTTCTGTTTGTCGAATTCTGACTATATGTTGAAATATTCGAGGAATTCCATAAATGTGTGGTTTCTGAAAAAGCACTCGCTAGCGTGTTTTCATCAATTGAATCATCGTGATTGAGTACATAGCCACATAAAGCAATTGTCATGAGTCGATAGTGTGTAGGATTTTGTAAATGTGTATGCCATATTATATCTATGTCGAAAGTAGGTATGATTAATTGTTTTCGCTTACTCAATCTCAAAAATGATATGTAATCTTCTATCATTTTTCCAAAAACCGGGCGACTTATTCTCTGTAAATCGATTGAATAGAGAGGATGTTCCTTGAATTGTTCAAGAAACAGAATTTGACGAAGAGAAGATGCTACCAAATCGATTGACGGTACGAAAGATAGCTTTTTAGAATCTGTTGGCATCGAAGAAGGAACATAGATAACTTTAGGATCCATTAGCTGACGGTTTGGAAGTTGCTGGGTGCAATCGTTGTAATATTCAATAGGGTGAAGATGGTGCACATGCCAAATCCAGAGTATTGGCCATGGTATAATTAACGTTTATATACATGGTAGTCTTTTCTTCCTGTCTCGTTTCCTATTTTCCTTTCATTCTCTCCCTTTTCTCTCATTTCCTTTCTTCTCTCTCCTTGGATCGCTCTCCGTATTTCTCTTGTTTTTTCTCCCTCTCTTCTTTTCTTTTTGTGGAACTCACATATATTTTCGAAGGAAAATAGTGAGTGTAAGTTTTAAGTTCGAGGTTTCGTGGCTCCCCCCCCCCCCACCCCTCCCCCGTCCCCTTACAGACACATAGC